TAGCTCAGGTAGAAAACAACAACAACAACAAGCCAAGAGTGCTTCCCTTTCATAGATTCATAGATTTCTAGGTTGGAAAAGACCTTAGAGATCATCGAGTCCAACCATCCCTAATCCCCATTAAACCATATCCCTAAGTAGCTCATCCACCCTATTCTTAAACACATCCAGGGATGGGGACTCAACCACCTCCCTGGGCAGCTTATTCCAGTGGCTGACAACCCTTTCAGAGAAGAAATACTTCCTAACATCCAACCTGAATCTCCCCTGACTAAGCTTATGCCCATTTCCTCTTGTTCTATCGCCCATCACTAATGTAAAGAGCCCTTCCCCCACCTCCCCACCATCTTTTCTCAAGTATTTATAGGCCGTAATCAGGTCTCCCCTCAGCCTCCTCTTCTCCAGGCTAAACAGCCCCAACTCCCTCAGCCGCTCCTCATAAGTTTTATTTTCCAGCCCCTTGACCAGTTTAGTCGCCCTTCTTTGGACTCGCTCCAGGAGCTCAATATCTCTCTTAAAGCGAGGGGCCCAAAACTGGACACAAACGTACTTATTCCCCTCCAAGCTCAACTCAACAGCAACATGATGCTCCAAAGGCAAACGAGGCTTTTTGCGTCAGTTTTATCAGCTCAGCTCTGTGGTGTCGCAGTGTTGTTTTCTTTTGTAGCAACATTATATGATGGAGCAAGTGCTGGGAAAGCCAAAGAAAGTAGTCTTTAGGAGGTGAGCAGATATTTCGTTTGTTTGTAGTACAAATGTTCTTTCTCTGAATAAATGCAGAGCTTCCTGTGGATCCAGCACTCCCTCTGAAGTCCAACAGGTTAGCAACGCTCCGGCACACCTAGTAGTAATTTATAGATGGTTTTATAAGTTAAAGGGCTTGAAATGCTGTCAGCTACAGAACAAGGGAGGTGGGTGTTTGCTACTTTGGATTATATCTCCCTCTGAAAAACTCACAGACTCTGCCCATCATTTTGGGACTATTTGTGTTGGTTTCCAGTAGCCGCATCTTTCCAGTGAGGAGCGTCTCTGGATTAGATACAGAGCAACAGAGGTAACTGAACAAAATGCCACACACAGAGATATTCAGGAATATTCTCTTTTGCAAACTCCATCACTTGCTATCTGTTTTCATACACTAGTTCTTTAACATGACTTTCTTCTTTAGATAAAAGTGCATGAGAAAGATTTATTTTTTTCCATAAGGTCAAATAACACAATGAAACAGAAGAGGACGACAGACTTGGGAGGAGAAGATGCTTCATGTTCCTGGGATTTGAAGAGGAATGGCAGTAATTAGGTAGGGGAGCCGAGGTTGGGTTTAGACACACCAAAGCTTTTCGGCACAGCAACCTGGAGAGCACAGCCACAGCAGAACCCTGGCAGCGGGTCAACGGATGGAGCCTTCCAAATCCAATCCAAAGATTGGATATTTCTGCAGTGCAATCCTCCCTCTCTGGTTTTCTGAGGAACGAGCAACATCAGGCAGGTTCCTTGACACTTTCCAGGTTGCCTTTGCTAAAATACCTAGTTTTCCAGCAGAAATATGGCAAATTCAGGACAAACAAGCAATTCTGAAGAATTCAGTGAAATTCTATTAAATTCTTTAGGGAACATCTTTTAAAAGAAAACTAGTTAAGACTTAAACTACTTTCACCTGAAAATCCATTCCACGTTTTCTGTTTGGTTTTGGTTTGGCATTTCATTTCCACCCGAATTGAAAGTTATACTTAGTGCTGTCCTGCCCGGTGCTTTTGCTGGATGAGCGCACCTCATTCCTGGCTGGCTCAGCGCGGGTCCCAGGAAGGCTCCAGGTGATGGAGGGGTATTTGTAGCTGTGCCCGGAGCTGTCTAATAGACCAAAACTCCTCTTTGATGAAAGAAACATAAAAGCAGCCAGGTACTTGCTTCCCTGATCTTGATAGCCCCTGTTGGCTGTTTATTTTATTGCTGTGCACAGCAGCAACTGTCCTAATTAAAAATCAATGCTGCAATCACCACCACAGCCATACAGTCCCGATGCAAAATTTCCAGTCTGATGTTGGAAAGTTTTGCTCCCTCTAGCCAGCCGTGGGGTAGCAGTGAGATCCAGACTGTGACCCCAAGGCCGAGGACATTGGGTCTGATGAAACCCACAAGCATTACATAGCAAAAATTAAACCAGGAGAGAAGCAGAGAGGAACTGGGGACTTGCAGGATGGTGCCTGACTTCCTCAGGGATTTCCATGAAACCACCCACTAAATCCAGGAGCCTCTCTTAAAACAGACCTTTGGCATGTTTGTTCAGAAGAGCTACATGATTGCAAACCTCCAGCTCTCAGAAAACTCTCAGGGAAGTTTACTTTGGGTGTTTCCTCCCTCCTACAGAAGCCAAAAGGACTTTGGATGCTTTGTGGGACCCGCTGTTTGCAGCAGTGGATACACACCTGCCTCTGTTGTAGAACAGCTCAGCTTGGATATGGATGACACGTACGTAGATGGAGAGAGGCCACCCGTTCACCCCCTGCCCGTCTCGCAGCACCACGGTCCAGATGCTCAAGTCATCGTCAGAACAACCTGGTCTGGCAGAAAGAAAACATCACGCAGTTCACCAAGCTCATAGTGATTTTTCTACTGGGATATTTTTCTTACCGATGCAATTCCGTTTTTCTCCAGTACACTCAAATGGGGAAATACACTTCTCTGCCTAAAAATAAATTCCAGTCTCTGATACAATCATTTCGTTCCAAAGAATGCAGAAAAATCACTATAATGTGCCACTATTCTCCTGAACTTCCTGCATTATGTCAATACAGAAAATTATTACTTACGTTAGTTATTACTCGCTGTCTACTATCAGCATTAAACAAACAAAATGTGCAAGAATAAAGACCTAGAGACTTGTCAATTTAAATGCTTTTTTTCATCCATGGTGAATCATGGATGAAAAAAAAAGCATTTAAATTGACAAGTCTTTAGGTCTTTTTCTATTTGTATTTATCATCCTTAGTTGACATCGTGGCCTCTTTTTTTTCCTGTTTAGTTGGTTGGGTTTGTTTTGTTTTTTTAAAAATACAGTGAAAACAAGAGCTCTTTTCTCCAAAATGAGGTACAATTGCTAGAAAAGTCTAGCAAAACACATACTAAGATTTAGTAGCTTTTACAGAAATTTCCATTCAATTACAGAATCTTCAATCTACAGATTTCAATGTTGAAAATGTGTTCTAAATGGACAGTCATTTGCCTTTTCAGTAATGATGTGAAGACAAAGAAAGGAAAAAAATGTAAACAATGAAAGGATGTACAAACTCAGGGAAAAAAAACACTAAATTAGAACCCTTCAGTCTCAGCTGTTATGCTTGAGTTCAATTATTTTACCTTATCCTTTAAAAAGAGTTTCAAACTTTGAGTTTGCTTCAAATACATTTACTAGGCATACTGCTTTTTCTCCAGAGAAGATAAACTTGCAGGCAGAAGTCAGTTTACTTTAATTATAAAAATTGCAAAGACGACCACCACCTTAAACCAAAGAAACAGTCACATTTTTATTTTAAAAGCAAACATTACATAAACCAACACAGAGATTTTCAAGTTCTGAGCACTTTCCGGACGCTGCTGGGGAAAGTACCTTGGCACAGTCTGGAATGGCTCATTTTTGCAAACCTGCCCTTCCTAATTCAGCTGGTTTTCTCTCCCTGCCTGTATCAGGCTGCTCTTTGCCACAGTAACAGCCCCAGATGTTGAAAATGCAGCTGAACATCAGCAACATGTCAAGCTATCTTCCCCTCACTCCCACTTCCTTGAGTGTCTTTCTCTTACGTGTGTTTCCAGTAGGCAGAAGGAATGGTACAGAAGCCAGTACTTTGCCTCTCTAAAACCACAGGACAGGTTTTGTACGCAGTTTATCGTTCCCAGAATGACTAATCTGGATTTAGCACCAAATATCACAAGTATGGAGGCACATGGCTACACAACACAGTGGAAGTGTGGAACTGTGCTGTTAGGTAAACAGGTCCATGAGTAGTAGGTTCACTGTCAAGCTTTATGCTAGTAACTTGCAAAAGGTCTGGATTCAACATTTCCCTAAAGAATTGATAAGAAAATACTTTCCAAAAGACTATTTGGAGCAAGGGAGTCTTTTTGAGCACAGGAGCAGATTTCCCAATACAGAGAGCTATCTAATGTTTTCAGAAAACAGATGCTGAGCAGGTGCCACATCACTTAGCTTTGCTTGAACGCAAAAGCTGACAATCTGTTTGCAGATTGGTCTAAAGGCTTTGGTTTTTTGGACACATTTGAGTCCGATTTTTGCTCCTGGTTCCTTTTCGCTTCATCTTCATCAGCACTGGGACGCTTTCGCTTTTTATCTTCTGTTAAATCATTAACTGTTCCTCCTTTTGCTTTCTCAGTCCACACCTTTGAAGAAAGCACATCATTAAACAGAAAACTACATATTAGGCCACGAAATTCTTTATTTTATACATCATCTTTCTCTGATTGTAAGAAAGCCCTGAAATAATTCCTGTGAAGAACTAATAAGGAGCAAGTTAGGAACAATTTCCTCACTTTCCTTTTTTGTAACAGCATTCTCCTTCAAAACTATACTTAATTTGATCCTGTATATCAAATTGAAGCTCTTAATTGCCTTTTTTGGACAAATAAGAAAACCAGGCAGCCTTAGAACAAATTTAAGCTCCAATGAATTGAGCCTGGCTACATTTTAACTCCCTCACTTCTCTTCTGTTATTTCTCCATTGATTATATTTCTCCCACATGCCCCACTTTAGAAAAGCTGCTTTCTGCTATTATTTATTATTCTGACTGTTTATATTTTCATAAAGTATATGTTGTAGATCATGGATGAATTAAAAACTGAAGTCCATGAAAATGGAGAACAGTGGAATTTAAATAAAAAAATTCCTAACCAAAAATAACCAAGGGATTGAGTGTGCGGGGGAGAAATTCTCCCAAAAAACTGAATCAGAGAATGTTTTCTTACCATTCTTTCTTCTGACGACAGCATTCTAAATCGACTCATGCCTTCTTTTATTACTTCTGCTTCATTCAGTTCAGGATTATCCGTCAAAATGTTTGCTCTGTTCTCTTCAAGCCACGTCTGGAATCCTGTCTTTGGTCTAAAACAAGCACACAAAAATTGTCTGTTTAAGAAGGTTATAGGAAAACCATATGTCCCAAAACAACATTTCTAAACAACACCTAACTGGACTTTTTTGTTCTTGAAAGAAAAGACATATATAGTCAGCAGTTTGCTTTCTCCTATTGCAGTATGCTTGAAGAACATGCTGACAAAGCAAGACTAAGTCAAGCATTTTTACTAAAACTGAGATATATATGGAGATTAACATTCCAGTTTTGGAATGACAAAGCATAATGGTTCTCTTCCTTTCTGCCAGGGTCCCATCCACCTAAAAATAGAGCACAGATATTAGCATGTTTCAGCTAACCCTTTTCACAATTCTCCTTGCCATTTGTTTTAGAACATTATCTGTAAAGGTTAATGAAAAGAACGCTAGTCCAAATGAATAATAATTGCCTTCATCTTCCTCAGTTAAATGAAGTGTAAATGTAACATGATTATAATAATGCAAATTTCATGAGAGCTGGGATTGTTAGAAAATACATCTGCTCCAGAGGAACAAGACAGATTAGAGTCTTAGCTCAGAAGACACGTGCTCCTTAGGTGATAAAAGTTTTTGTTTTGTTTTCTTTTTTAAAAAACATGCTAAAATAAAGCTTTTACACTTTCAGGTAAACCCCTTAGCTTTTTAGATATCCTTTGAGATTCACTAGAGATGTGTAAAGTATTTCCTATATTTGGAACTAGCACAGCAGCATGGTTTCATTTATGATTCAAAGGTCATTATCAGATGCATAAGTAGCACCAAGGCAAAAATCGTTGCTTAGAGACCCAAAATTACATTTTGCATTGTTCATCATTATTCACTCACACATGTATTTGTCCAGGCCGATGCAAAACTTCTGCTTTGAATAACATTGCCATGCACACTGGGAGAGATGTGATGAACAGAATGCTTTTCTCTGTTCTTTCACAGTGACTGTAACGTGGCAATTTGGAAATCCAACTGATTTTTTTAATGCAGGTTTGTTTGATAATATGCATAGTATCAGCAGTTCACTAAATTTCTGAAGCGAGTTCACAAACATGACAACTTGTGAGCGAACATTTTAATCTTGATGTTATGCTATTTCAGCCAGTCCAACGTCTTCAGAAACAAAATAGTTTTTGAACTTGCTATTCTCTCAAAATTGGAACACAGCCTTGAGATGCAAGTGTCCACTCACCTTCTATTCTCAGTGTTTTCCTGTGCAGTGACTTTGACTTCAGGAGACTCGTTGCCTGCTTTTTCTTCTCTTTCTTCCACTGTTTTTTCACTAGAGTTAGGTGTACAAGCCTGGAAGAAGGAGGCTGCTGACATCTGTAAAAATTGAGTTTAAAAAAAAAAAACCACAAGCGGTAAGAACACGTCACTCTCACAGCCTAACAAAACCCAAGCCTCTCCTAAAGACTTATTAATCTCTTGCATTAATGTAGCATCTATCTATTCCATCCAATTCCAGCACAGCAGATGTTTAGCTAACACTATTTAAAATAAAAGCACAAGATTCAGTGCAGAATGTAATTTGCACGACTGCATATTTTTTTTCTCTTTTATGTGCTTTTATAGTTTCTGCATTATGCTTTGATGAACTTTGCCATTTAAGATGCTTTACTCAATCAGCAGGGTTTCATACTTCAGTAAAATTCAGTTTACTGTTCTTTGCTCACTGAAACAACATAAAAAGACTAGAAACATTACCTGCTTGGATTTGGGTTTGGGAGTCAGAGGCTTTATAACTGGAGAGGTCTGCTTGTTTACAGCTCGACTGGTAGATAAAGAAGTTTTCTTTGAGTATTTGCTCATAGTGTCTAGAACATTTGCTGAGGGGACCACTGGGTCCTTTTTGTTAGATGACACCTAGCAAAACAAATAAATAGACATTTCATTTATTTTCTGTCATATTCCCCTCCTCTGTTCCTTCAAGATATCTGTCATAGTTATATTGCAAACTTTAGATACAATAAACTGTTGTGATTTTCAGAACACCACAATCAAACCAGCCGCAAAATTCTTACCTTAAAGGGATTCACTCGTCCTTGGCTGCTTGATACAATTACAACTATTTAATAGGAAAGAAAAAAGAATGTAAAAATGCATGCACACGTACCGATATACAAATCTATAAAGCAACATGCACATTTTGGTTGAGTACATGAAACAACATTAGCCTCATTTCCAAAGAACTAGGCTAGCACTCTTTTTGTGTGTTCAGCCTCTGTTCATTCAAAATGGAAGAGGAGAACTAAATCAAAGGCATCAACTATTCCACACCAAAGAAAAGAAGTTCCCACCGGGCTTGAAAGTGGTTGGATAAAGAAAAAGAGATTTTAATAACCCCATGAAGGTTATAACATAGGTGTTTAGCTATTATTAGTCATCAGAAGTGCCACACAGGACCAACAGCTTAAAATACAAAACCACAGGAAGACCCAGTACTTCCTCCACTCCCAAATCCGTTTCCACTCCTATTATTCTTGCTAGAGGGTTGGCAGAGGGGAAGAAGCAGCAAGAGGTCACATTCTGCCCCTGCCTGATCAGACTCACAGTTCTATGGCAGAGTTACTAACTGACTTGTAAGTGCAACCAATAAATCTGCCTGTGATAGGTAAAACAAATGAATTTATCATTGTCCTTGTTTTTTCTCCCTGTCCCAAAGAACACCTTCATGGCATAGCCAGGCAGAGAACCGATTCAGCATTTGGTACAGCCAAGGCAATTAGAATAGTGTTATGGAGCATCATTAGGTAATGAAGACATCAACAGGTGCAGGGAACCTCTTAAAAACATTAAATGTCTTAAAAACATTAGCGTGACAATCAGTGCAAGTTACCACTTGACAACACTGTTATGCACTAAATTTTAGTAGTTGTGGGAGAACGGAGGATAAAAACAGAAGCAGACACCATGAAGCATGACAAAGTCCTCATCCTGGAATAAATGGAGATTTACTCACCAGACTTCGAAGTAGTCACCTGTGTTGAAGTGACACCTTTGGAGAAATTATTTGGCCCTTCAGAAAAAAGAAAGGGTTACATATGTAAGTGCAATAAAATGTAACAGTGTAACTTCTTTAAAAACAACCCCCGGAACAGACCAAGTAAGTTATAATATGAGGCTTTGAGCCACCTCAAAGTGGTGTAGTGGAGGGTGTCCCTGCCCATGGCAGGGGGGTTGGAACTAGGTGATCTTGAAGGTCCCTTCCAACCCAAACATTCTATGATAGTAAAGCAGTCTATATTTTAAAACACGACTTTTAATTTTCAAATTGTACATGCACTTTTACAAAACCATCTGTTATCTCTACCTAGATCTAACTTAGAGTTGTATACTTCCAAACCTTAAACTTATTCCTTAGAGTGTACCCAGCAACCTACTTGTCTATCAATTCCTACAAGATTTGAGCTGAAACAAAAGTTAACTGTTTCACAAGGTGACCCAGTCCATCAGAAATAGCATGGGACAACAGAAACACTCCCCGAGGGTCTGTCAAATGGTTACTAAGTACAACACACAGCAAGGTGTGACAGAGCAGATGACATACACTAAACTTGTTACGCTGCAGTGACTGCAGGCACAGTCTGGAATACAGAGCTGCTCGCTCAGGCAGGCACTACCACTCATCTCCCACAGGGAATTCCAGGTAACGAGAAGCCCACAGGCAGGAGTTACTGCATGTCACTCCCATTATTCCTGTGCATTTTTTTTCCACATGTTGACACCCAAATAAGACACATCGGAAACTACCAGACCTGTTCTAACTAGGTATCAGAAAACCTAATCCCTGCTACAGCTGCAGAGTTTCAAAACTCAGTGGAACAAATGGGATTATTTTCTATTTACATAAATGGCTTCTAAACCAAATCTCCTGTACTTCACTTACGGCGCTCCGTGGCGGGTGGTTTGCCTGTCTTTCGTAAAGTTTATGTCAAAAGAACAAAACAAAACAATAGACAGAAAACACCATTGTTTGCATAGTCCTATAGACTGCTGAGTTATCCAGACTACAAGTCATCTGGGAATTTTCCTTATTAAGTCTGCGAAAGACACATCGAGATAACTTCCGGCCTATTCAGAGAATATATTTTTTCTTACTCTGTTTATGCACTTCTGGTGTTTCTTCTGCTTCCTCATCGGCATCAGTTTCCTCAGCATCTTCCATTTCTTGGTCACCCCTTCGGGCGGCCAGCCGGCTCCACTCGGTGGCAGAGTTGCTGTAACTAAATGGAAGGAATTCATCAGAAAGGAAGTGGCCACCACATTCAGAAGGAAAACTGGAACAATGGAAGGCTAACTTACTTCCCTAATTTAGGAAATGAGAACAATAACATTTGGTGTTTATTTGCATTATACCTCAGATTAAACTGTGACGATTACTAAAAATAAAGCTTCATTAGCCACTTCAGTTCATCCTGAAACACCAAGCGCAGTCGCCTGAAGCTGTACTCATGGAGTTTTAAGGAAGACCACACACAGGTCGGAAACTGCCCAGTATTTACCCTCAGCTAAAAGTACACACACTGGCCTTCAAACAGAAGAACAAGCACCCAAACAGAAGCAGCAACCTTTTGCCACCTTCCCAGTGCATTGTTATTGTTGTCAGAACACTCTACTGCAAATATAAATGCAAACATAAACCATCTTCTGTCATCTCCATTTAAACACGTATATCTCCAATATCATAAATAACACCAGATTACTTTTCTACATACATGAACACACACACAGGTGGTAACATGGATGCATGCTTTCAGTCTGAAGCTTAGGAAGTGAGTTTTAATATTTAATCATAGATCATAGAATGGTTAGGGTTGGAAGGGACCTTAAAGATCATCTAGTTCCAT